AATTAAAAATTAAAAATAAATAAATATAAAAATATAATCATATATAAATAAAATTTATTAAATTAGTTATATTTAATTTATATTTTAATAATTAAATTAAATAAATATAAAAAATATGTTGAATTAAAATATGTTTCAATTATTTTTCTTTTTAAAATGAAGTTTGAATTGGTCTTACGGTCAAGCATTGAAGGTGTATGTCATGCTCAAATTTAAAGAAGTTTGGTAATGACGGACAAATAAGGATCCATGTATTATGCAAGACATGCAATGAACAGCTCTATCGATGCGGCATCGACTTATGCAACCAAAAACGTGATGGTCAAACATTTTTAGTATTAAGGCTGTTGCTAATATTTGCAGTAAACAATAATTGGTCATATTCAAAAGTCTGTGAAAACAGAAGGTCAAAAACTAGCGAGCTCAATTTTGTACAAACAGGACTTCGGTAAAAAATTTTGTACTTATCACACTTAAAAAAATATATATATACAAAAGAAGTTCGAAATATTGGTGTTATTAGTGAAAAAGGTTAGGTTGTACATATATATATATATATGTATGTATAAAACTCTTCAACAGCAACCAAGAGATAAGTGGAAAATGAGGACCCTTGTCTCAAAAATTCTAGTAATTAAGTAAAATGCTAGTGGCTTATTATTATTTTTTTCAAATTTTTTAATCTAAAATTAAAATTAAACAAATTTAAAGATACAGACATATATATAAAATGAAAAAATCAACTGAATTGACTATACTTAATTTATACTATAATAATTAAAGTAAACACGTATCTAAATGTATATTGAATTGAAGAGTATATCAATTATTGTTTTTTATAAAATGAAGTTTGAATTGGTCTTATGGTCAAGCATTAAAGGTGTATATCATGCTCAAATTTAACAAAGTTTGGTAATGATGGACAAATAAAGATCCATATGTATTATGCAAGACATGCAATGAACAGCTCTCTTGATGTAGCATCGACTTATAAAACCAAGAACGTGATGGCCAAACATTTTTAGTATTAAGGCTGTTGCTAATATTTGCAGTCAACAATAATTGATCATATTCAAAAGTCTGTGAAAACAAAAGGTCAAAAACTAGCTAGCTCAATTTTGTTCGAACAGGACTTTGGTTAAAAATTTTGTACTTATCACAATTTTTTTTTAAAATTTTCTTTGTTACAAAAGAAGTTTGAAATATTGGTCTTATTAGCAAAAAAGGTGAGGTTGTTCATATATATAAAACTCTACAACAGCAATCAAGAGAGAAGTGGAAAATGAGAACCCCAAGTCTCAAAAATTCCCGTAATTAAGTAAATGCTAGTTGCTTATTATTATTTTTTTTTTCAAACTTTTCTTTCCATACTTTTCTCTGCAATTAATCCACAACACCATAGCAGAAGTCTCAATCTATAATTTGGAACGAAAATATTTTTAAAATGCTACAAATGATAGATCGATAATTTTAAATGCGATTTGGTTGATCGTCATGAAACTAAAATGTTATAAAGACTCATATCTGTCCTCACAATAAAGAGTTAAAAAGAATATTAGAGATTCTCCTCACATTTTTTTCATATCCTTCAAACAAAAATAAAAGAAAATTATCTGTTTTAACATGTTTCTGTGGCCCTATTGGGTAGCATTAATTCTTCATCAAATCATATACTACCGTTTATACGAGAGAGAGAGAGAGGGAGAGAGAGAGAGAGAACGTTCTGTTATTAAAAAAATTAAAATCTTTAATTATAATTACTTAATATCTTTAATAAAATTAAGAAATATATTATATTTTATATATTTAATAATTATAATTAAATGTAAAAAATTTCTAAATGCCATGATTTTTCTTTTCCCAAGAAAAAAAAAGGGGCAATTGTCTTATTTGACACCGGCACCTAAGTCGATGTTTTCTTTTTAAACATTAACAAATTGTTAGAATTAAACGGCAGGGAAAATGAGAAAGGAGAGAGTGAGGCTCAAATGCAGTCTCTCCTAGAGAATTCCAAACGAGGCCAATAGTAAGCAGCTACAATACCTATAGTGTGAATTTCATGGCACGTAATTTGTTTGTTATTTTAATCAGGGTTTGTTTAAATTGAATGATATTAATAATGTATTAAATATATTTTTTATCATAAATTTATATTAAAAATTAAATTTTAATTTAATTTATTAATTATAGAATTCCAAACGAGGCCAATAGTAAGCAGCTACAATACCTATAGTGTGAATTTCATGGCACGTAATTTGTTTGTTATTTTAATCAGGGTTTGTT